GAGGGTGACCAGGTGTGGAAAGGTTTAGTTTAAAGAGGCTCAGAGGGGACCTTCTGGCTCTGCAACTCCCTGACAGGAGGAGGGAGCCGGGGGAGGGTCGGGCTCTGCTCCCAGGGAACAAGGGACAGGAGGAGAGGGAACGGCCTCCAGCTGTGCCAGGGGAGGCTCAGGTTGGATATTAAGGAAAATTTCCTCACTGAAAGAGTGGTCAGGCAGTGGCACAGCCTGCCCAGGGCAGGGCTGGAGTCACCAGCCCTGGAAGTGTTCAGAAAACATGTGGATGTGACACTCTGTGATATGGATTAGTGGGCATGGGGGTCGAAGGTTGAACTGGATGATCTGGAGGTCTTTTCCAACCTTTACGATTCTCTGATTCTGTGCCAACAAAAAGGTTTGGAAGTGGGGAGGAACAGCCTCTGCAGAGGCCTCTGTCAGGGCCCGTGGCTGCAGCTCGTGGCTCCTCATCAACCCTTCCCAGCTCACAGGAACAGCCAAAGCATCCCCACAGCCCTTCCCCCAGGGAAAAGCTCCTGCTCCCTCACACTTGTAAAACCCCAAGCCATCTTCATCTTCTGATTGAAGCTTTCCAAGGAATAAATATGAAAGGAGAGAGGAGAGGGATGAAGCTGATGGAAAATTCCCCCGTTTGGCAGCTCTTTCTCCGCGCGGATCCATCTGGGCACGCACAGATGCAAGGCTGGGCAGATTTGTTTGGTGAAAATCTGAACAGCTTTTCTCAGATGGAAAACAGTGAGGGAAAGATGCAGTAAAAAGAAGTGCCGGGAAGAGTCGGTGGCATATGCAAGTGAGGAAAAAAATTGCAGCTTTTCGGTGAGACACCCGAGTGGAAAATTCCAGGAGGATTGTTCCAAAGGAAAAAAGTCACGTGTGGGATGGGATAAGGATGCTTTGGCCGTGCCAGAAGATCAGGGGCAAAACCAGAGGGGAGATTTGGTACAATTCTCAAAAAAAAAAAAAAAGAAGCTTTGAGAAGAAACATGTTTGGAGACGTCAGCACAGGGGGAGCCAGGTCACCTGCAGATGGACAATATGGGAAAGGGGGCAGGAGGTGGATTTACTGACAACAAAAGATGGAAGATGAGATGGAGAACTAATGGCTGGCTCAAAATGCTGGGTGCAGCATAATTCACCCTAAAAGCCCAACCAGCCAGAGATTTCCACATTGCACCAGGTGAAAGAACTCAAAAATATTACCAAAACTCATAAAAACCCTAAAGGCCTTAGATGTGTTTTTATTTCACATAAATAAAAGCCAGAAATTTTAATTAATCCTAATTAACCTGATTAGGATTATTACAGTGCTAAGAATCATTTACTGGCACCACGAGCTTTTCTTCCCCTCTCTCCAAAGAGAATTCCCTTTGTGCACCTGCTTTTAACACCCCCATGCTAGAGAGCACATCCAAATAGAATTCCATTATGGTTGGGAGAGATTTCATGCACTCAGAGAAATGCAGGGAAAAAATACAGAATCATTCACATTATGTACTCTCTGCAGGGATATTTAAGGCTTTTCCCCTCCAAGTAAATCAGTTTTATGTAGGTAAAGTCCTTGAAAATATCAAATCGCAAGTCTTTGCTCTCAGAACTTTGTTTCTTAAATTGTAAATGTCTTAAATTTCTTGTATGTTTGGGAAAGACACAGAGGTCACAGGGAATCAGCATTTCCCACCCGGGGTCACTGTAGGACCCTCACACAATATTGACCTCCCGTGCCTCAGTTTCCCCCTTTGCAACATGAGAACAGTGCTGGAAATCCTAATTCCTAATCCTCACTTCTATGAAGTCTGAAGTGAAAGACAAGGAGAAATTACTTTCCCTGTTTAAGCTTAAATTTCCAGAACCAGTGGATGCCCCAGAGAAGATGAGGCCTGAACCAGGAGCTGTTCTGACAAACACATTGAGGTGCAGCCAACAACAAAGCCCAGCTTTGTGCTCCTCCTGAGAGACAAACAAGGGACTAATTGTCTGAGTTTAGTCTGAGAACTGCTTTGCACCTGATTACCTTTGGGGTCCACGCACAGGTTTTGTTTTCATTTCTTCTTTGTTAAACCCCAGCAGTCCCAGGGACACAAACAGTGGCTCTCCACTGGATTTTTGGTCTCTGTGGGCACCACGTGGCTCTGCCCCTTTGCCTTGTAAATATAAGCTTGGTCTGTAAAGGTTTATTCAGCAGACTCCACAGAAAATCATAAATCCTGGAATATCACACCCCTTCCACCTCCTCCAAAATGAACCTGTGTGCTGGTCCAATGGTACAGACACACAGGGTTTGAGCCCCAGGGCAGAAATCCAAGGGAAGGACATGGATCATCTGCTGGGACACGGATCTGCTGCCACCCAGCAGGTCCAGCACATCCCCCCATCACCCCCAGCTGCCCCCTGGGTTTGTAAGTCAGGGCACAAATTGGATTTGCATTTCTGCCCTCTGGGTCTCAGCCACAAACACTCTTTAAGGAACAAGGATTTGCCAACAGGTGCCAATGGCAGGTGGGTTTTTCAGGGAGAAGGTACCTGGGGAATAGTTACTTGCTGATTTTCTAAGAAAGCACAGAAGGGTCACAGAATGGTTTGGGTGGGAAAGAACCTTAAAGCTCATCCATTCCCACCCCCTGCTATGGGCAGGGACACCTTCCACCAGCCCAGGTTGCTCCAGCCTGGCCTTGGACACTTCCAGGAATCCAGGGGCAGCCACAGCTTCTCTGCCCAACCTGGGCCAGGGCATCCCCACCCTCCCAGGGAAGGATTTCTCCCTAAAACCCAACCAACATCAAAGCACAGCTTCTGTTCTTTCCAGCTCCCATCCCTGCATAAAACCCATCTTTTTCAGGCACTGATGTGACAAATAAACTTATTTCTCATTACAGATGTTGCAAGGGGCTGATGAAATCTCTTGCTTTGGGACACAAATCTCATCAGCCCAAGGAATTGCTTTGCCTTTTGTACCTTTTGCAAGGCAAGTGCAGCATTTTAGGATCTGCCAGAACGTGCACAAAGAATCAGCATCACAGAATATTCTGAGCTGGAAGGGACCCAAAAGGATCATCAAGTCCAACTCCAATTCCCCACTGCCAAAGGAAAAGACCTGTTGAGTGGGTGACCAAGGCACCCAGGCTGCAGCACAGTTTGGCACATTTAACACTGATTTGAAGGATGGAACATAACATGCTTACTGAGATTGCTGCTGCTACCAGGCTGGGACAGGCTGCAAGTACTTCAGAGCCAGGATTAGGATTCAAAATGGTCTTGATAAATTGTAGAAATGGTCTGGAAAAAGAAAAAGAAAAAGGCAGTTCAGGAATGGGGGGTGAACAGTGGTAAGACAGGAATAAGCAATGACAGAGTCACGAGGGAAATAAACATCAGCTCACAGTGGTTAATTATTTTTGGAAAAGCCCTCTAAGCTCATCAAGTCCAACAACCAACCCAGCACCACCACCATGGTCACCACTAACCCATGTTCCACATGCCTTTGAAGACTCCCAGGGATGGTGGCTCTGCCAGGGTGGGGACTCATCATCTGCACTAAAGAGCAAAGACAGCAGGGAGGCACCATCATGGTCTTCAAACCCACTAAGGGGGCAACAATAGAGAGAAATAAACTGTCTTCTAGACTTGTCAAGGGTAGCACAAGGTGTCATAGTCTTAAATTGCATCAGGGAACACAGGTTAGAAAATGGGAAGTATTTCCTAAGGGAAGGAAAGCACTGAGACAGAAAGTCAAGGGCAGCTGTGGATCCCTCAACATCTAGATCAGGGAAGTCAAGGCACAATCCACCAGAAGAAGGCATGGAGAGGTGGCTTTACCTGGAACTCCTAATTTTCTTTGTTTCCAAGGGTAAGAAAATGCTTAGGAAGCAACCCAGTGACTGCCCAGATAAACTTATATAACCCAACTGTTAATTAATTAACCACACCATGACAGCTGAGGCCATGGCCCATCCACCACCTCATCCAGGCAGGCAGTGGGATCTCTCTACACACACCAGGTAGGGGGAAGAAGTATTATTATATCAATATTGTGGAGAAGAAACAGAGCCTTGAAGAGTCCAAGCCATGTTCCAGTCACACAGAAGGTCTGCTTCAATGGGAGAGGAGCCCTGTCCAGTGGGGCAATCCCAAAATGACCCTTCTAATTAGAGAAAAATTAAAGTATATTCAACACAGGTCTCACTCCAATATCTGCAGGTGCCCTGCATGTGACAGCACACAACAGGATCTCAAAACAGGTTTATTTTTGCCCAAATGTGCCTTCCCACAGAGCATGCAGAATATTCATTGGCAGGTGAGCAACTGCACTATAAATGCTCAGAGCTCTGATTTCTCCTCACCTGCCCAGAATCTCAATGGGGCTGCAGGGCAGGGCTTTGATGGCTCAGAAGGGAAGGCAAATATTTTTTGCAATTCTCCTGGAGTGCAAAAATAGATTTATCACCAGCCACTCTCCCAGCCTGGCAGGGGCAGCAGAGGCTGCAACAGCCCCTCACTCAGGCTGGGAAAGCAGGTCTGTGCCCTGGAGCCAGGCTGGGAGAGCTGGGGGGGTCACCTGGAGGAGAAAAGGCTCCAGGAGAGCTGGAGAGGGACTTGGGATAAGGGATGCAGGGACAGGACACAGGGAATGGCTTCCCACTGCCAGAGGGCAGGGAGAGATAATTGGGGAGAAATTGTTGTCTGTGAAGGTGGTGAGGCCCTGGCCCAGGTTGCCCAGAGAAGCTGTGGCTGCCCCTGGAATCCCTGGAAGTGTCCAAGGCCAGGATGGAGCAACTTGGGCTAGTGGAAGGTGTCCCTGCCTGTGGCAGCAGGGTTGGAACAAGATGATCCAGAAGTTTCCTTCCAACCCGACCCATTCCATGATTCCCTGATCATCAAGCCCTCGCTGCCACCTGGCTGTGGATAATCTGGGAAAATTCAGTGCCAGAACAGGCATTAGAGATGCTTTTAACAGAAGTTAATTTCCATTTTAATAGGAAAAATAAAAAATGAATCAAGAGAATATTTCCCAAGCACACAGTGATGCTCCCAGTGAAAGCTGCCCTGGCTGCAGCACAGAATTACTGTTGCATCACTCCTCTGCTGCTGAGGCTTCTCCAGGGCATCTCTAATCACAAAGAGCAGCTGGAATTCCAATGGGAATAAACACTGCCCTTGCTGATGCATAAACATCCAAGCAGATTTCCTTGGCACCGGCTCTGAGAAGCTGGAGCTCCAGCCTTTACCCCAATGAGGTTCAGAATCATCCTATGAAGTAGCAAAGACTTCTACTGATAAGCTCCATCACTCTTAACTGGGAGGCATCTGCTCATTGTGGGTTTGGAACAAAGAATATCAGGTTAAAAGGGAAAAAAATTTACAAAAGAGCAGTCCAGGCACTTGGGATGAAGTGAGTGTTCTCAGGCTCCCCAGCACGGCTGCAGAACTTCCACCTCCAGGCAGCGACCCTTTGAAAGCAGCTGAACACAAGTTAAAAATTCATATCCCAGCCACAGATATGAATTCCCAAAACTTCCTATCTCCCCCTCTAAGCCAGGGGAGGATGACAGCCCCTGTGACCTTCTGAAGGCACAGCCACAGCTCAGGGCCCTGAGTAGCTCTTCAGGCGGGGAAGGGCCTCACTGCTCCTCCTTCCTCGTTGAATAAAAGCCTGCAAAGCCACTGAGATGAAAAATCTCTATTTTGGGTTGGAAAGAACTTTTTAAACCACAGAAGTAGCCTCATATGGAGATGTGGCCAGTCCCCTTCCCAGGGACTCTGAGCAGGGCAGTGATCCTGGAGAATCCCCAGCTGGGCTTTCATCCCATTTCCCCCCAGCAGAGCTGCATCCAAAAAAGAGCCTCACGGGACAAGATGCAGCCAAATCCTGCTCTGCTCTGCCCTGGGTTGGCCTCACCTGCAATACTGGGGGGACACAATGTAGGGAAGATATTGAGCCACTGGAGAGTGTGCACAGGAAGGACATAAAGGTGGGGAAGGGCCTGGATTTGAAGCCCTGTGAGGACACTGAGGGCATTTGGTGTGTTCAGCTGGAGCAGAGGAGACTGAGGGGAGACCTCAGTGCAGTTCCAATTCCTGAGCAGGGGCAGAGGAGGGGCAGGGACTGAGCTCTGCTCTGGGGGAGCAGGGACAGCAGCCAGGGAACGGCTGGAGCTGTGTCAGGGCAGGCTCAGGTTGGATCTCAGGCAAAGGTTCTTCCCCCAGAGGCTGGTTGGGCACTGCCCAGGCTCCCCAGGGCAGTGGGCACAGCCCCAAGGCTGCCAGAGCTCCAGGAGGGTTTGGCTGATCCTCTGGGGCACAGGGGGTGACTCTTGGGGCTGGGCCTGTGCAGGGCTGAGGGTTGGACTGGATGGTCCTTGGGGGTCCCTTCCAGCTCAGCACATTCTGTGCAATAAATCAGCAGCTGAAACCACGCAGGGTCTTTGAGCAGCTGAGAACAGGTCCCAGCAAAGCTGTGGTTCTCAGGAGGTACCAGCACCGAGGAGCTGAGTTTCTGTAGTGGATATTCACCCACTCAGATGAAAAAAAAATAAAAATCCCCCATTTCTGTGCTATTTCACCCTGCTGACAGGAAAGAGCTGGAAAGGGCCATTGCTTCTGAGCTTAATTGCATCCGATGCTTCTAAGGGTGAGGGAAAAGAGCACTTCATGAGCCAAAACCAGAAAAAAAAAAGTGAATATATTACACTGCAGCAAGAGCAGCATCTTCAAAGCTTTGCTCCCCACACCCTCAAGTGTGAAATCAGAGATTTTTTTTTTTTTCTCAGTAATGCTTTTTGCTCATTTCCTGCCTGGCCTCTTAGTCTTAGAACAATGAATCAGGATTAATTAACATCAATGTCAAGATTAAGATCACGCCTAACTAGGACTTTCTTGTCATCTTCCAGAGAATTAAAGCAAAGCCCACGTACTGCTGGACTGACCACAGCACAGGGCTGGGCTGACTTTGCTCACCCACGGGGACCTGGTGCTTTTGGGTGAAACCAGCCCCAGCTGAGCACAAATATCTGTTCTCATGAAACTCTGACAGTCTCCCCAAGCTGGTTTTTATTACCATGCACCTCCAACAACCCCAGCACCATTTGTTCTCCAGGCAGGAAACAAGGAGCCAGGCAGGAGCCTGAAGCTCTGGACTGAGGTCAAGGAGATGCACTTTAAGCTGAAGATGCTGCAAGCCACAAACAAGTATGAGAAGGAAAGACAAGTCCAGCTGTCCCTGGTGCTCTGAAATCAGTGCTTAGCAGCTGAGAAGGAAGTTTGTCTGGATTCTCTTCCCAATATACACCTCTGACCTTATCAGGCTCCATATTCTCATAAGGTCAGTCACTGTCAAACTCTGCTGTTATTCACAGTTTAACAATCCCTCTCAAACTATGAACTTCCAGGCACCTTTTGTAAGAGGAGCAGAGCAGAAGGTCTTGTCTTTCTCACCTTCTGAGCTTTTGCTCAGCAGGCTGCTGCAAGTGCAAGCCAAGTAAAAAAGTGGGATGAAAGGGTGGGATATAACCCCTTTAGGCACCTCCCTGTAGGGGAGACAGGAGAAGCTGTGGCTGCCCCATCCCTGGAAGTGTCCAAGGCCAGGATGGATCGGGCTTGGAGCAACCTGGGCTAGTGGAGGGTGTCCCTGCCCATGGCAGGGGGTGGTCTGTAAGGTCCCTTACAACCTAAACCACTGTGTGATTCTCTGATGTGGCTCCTCCAGGCAGCTCCAACCTCTCCAGCCTGGCAGGGATCCATCACACTGGATCTCCTGCCCAGATGATGCAGCCAAGAGCGGCAGCATCACAGCTCTGGGGATGACTTGACTAGAAGACCCTCAGGAGATCTGCAGCCCCCTCTTCCCAAACTCTGAATGCACATGACAAACACAATGTTCTCCAAAGGAACCTGCTGTCGAGCCTGACAGTGTCTGTGGCAGCTTCTGCTCACTCATCCTCCCCACAGCCACCCCAACAGGGCACCAAACCAACAGACAGATTATTCATGTGGCCCATTTCTGGTGCCTGTTGGGTTTATTTTGCTCAAGTGTGGTATCTTAGAAGTTGTTCAAGATGACCTTTGCCTTTAGAAATCATTAAGAGAAGCAAAGAGATTCACAGGACCGAGGCAGTGTGAGGGACTTTAAGTTTTTGACACTTCTGCAGAGTAAAAGTACTTGGCTGAACTAAAGGAAGTGGAGTGAGGCTGTGAACTGAGACTGAACCAGCAGCTCTTAAGTTTAGGATGTAATGAGTTATAGAAAAGAGTGTTAAAAAAAACCCAGAATGTCTCTGCAG